TAAATTTAATAAGCCACATTAAAGAAGGACCATTAACGACGTCTCCAGAGTAACTGAATGACGGTTCATATGGAAATCGCAGGTAAGCGTCTCATACAACAACGCCCCCTATAGTTCGTTGCGATCGCGAATTACCTTTATATGCATATATTATCTTTATTTATGAAGCATCCTTGGCGCAAATAAGCCTCATTGGCGTCGATTTTTTATGTTTCTCCTAAACAAATTGGTACCACTTTTCCATTAATTTTGCTTTTGAATACATAAATTTTTTTCCACTTCAATTCCATTATCATTGGTTTTAAATGTATTTTTTTAGAAACACGTTTAAAAGAATTAATATAAATAAAGTAAAAGCGCGTGGTATCAGACAAAGTATACATTTGGCTACGCAAACCACGCATGCTACCACGTAATTTCAGTGAATTTAACTGCCATAGCGAATATAAAATAATTAACTATTTAAATACGTGCAATAAACTATATTTTGATCAAATAGAGCTATAAACTAGCAATTATCACTGATGTTATCTTTAAAGTATGTGAAAAATTGAATCGTTAAATTTAAAACACTGGCTAACGCCTAACCAATCAGAAAATTCTATTTCGTTTTTCGCTCATCTCGCTCAAACGGTTTTCGTAGAATGTTCTAATGTCGACTGTGACCTTCCTCGTGCTTTGAACTATCTGCCTGCCAAGTTTCATAGCTTTCGGTCGGATGGTTTAGGAGTCTATAAAGAAAGCACACACACACACAGACATTCATTTATATATATATATAGATATTGTTCAAAAACATAGTTTGTTGTCGATTTACATAATTCAAAGAGATCTTACCCATCAAGATTACTTTCATCAGAAGTTTTTTTCTCTGGTGACTCACTCCGAAGTTTTTCTAGATCAGGAAGATGGGTGGCACAAGCCGATAAAACACAATCCATGTCTACCTAAAGTGAAATAGAATTATATCACGTCGAATTGAATATTCATCACTAATTTAATCTGTTCTTATCATTCATGTATTCTCTAATACTTAATTTCATGTAGTTTCACAAGCTTTATTATTAATAAAATAACCTTAACCAATTTCACAAACAATAACAAAATATTAAGCAAACGAAAAATTTAGTATAATATAATTATATTAAATTATATTACCAAATTGCCTTTTATTGCATTTTCCAGAGCTGTTATCAAAAGAGTTGCAACTGCCATCAACTGCCGACATTCTTCCTAAAAAATAAAAAATTGTACTTCAAAATAAAAAATGATGAACAAAAAAATTTCCGTTGTGAATTTTTCGTTTTCTAAATAATTTCTCAATTTTTTTTTCCTTCATACTTACGAAAATTGCTGCGAATGTGTCACTGTTAGTTCCACACTAAACTTTGGCTCAGTGAATAGTACAATGTAATTACTTTTACGCAATAAAGTGAATAAGATCGCTAATCAAATTTCTATTAAAAAGGTTATTAATTATACGTCAGCAAGTTGCAAGCGATTCTTGCTCACAGGGCCAACTATTGTGGTTAAGAGTCATCTTCGCAAACGAGATTCTTTGGTAACCATAGCACGGTATCATAAAGAGATCACTCTCTTGTACAAGAGATCCTTCTCGATTTTCCTAATCATTCCTATTAACTATTCCTTCATTAAACTGGTGTTAATAGATTAATTTAATTACGTGACTAAGTTATTATTTTTCTTCCTTTTAGGTCACTAGTAAGCAACTTTTCCCTGCAATACTATCAAAACGACGCTTACTATACTTATAGTTTGTGATACATCAATAGTTTATGATCCATGATAATTTTAAGTTGTTACAATTTTCATTTAAATTTCCTTTCCAACGTTTCAGTACACCAATGACTATTTTTAAGAAAATCAGTTTGAGTTTCTCCTTTAAATATATGTATGTCGCAAGCTATTTGAATAATCCGGCACTTTGCAAACAGCCTACGCTATCTTGTAATTCACCAGGTTATTTGCAAAAACCTCCAGAATTATCTAATCAGCCTGATATGCTTTAGTGAGCAAGAATACCTTTAGGCTAATTAGAAAATTAGTCTAATTTTTTTCTTAATTTGCTGGTTTGTTTTAATTAATTTGCAATAAGCCCAGAAAGTGAAGAATTTTTTCATAGTCTTATAAAAGGTTTATTTCGATAAGCCTAAGCAAAGCCAGTCTAATTGAATAATTCTTCGCCCATTTTTAATTTACCTAAAATCATATAAACTGATTCTTAAAAATATCAAGTGGATTAGAAAAAATTAAAACATTTTTCAATTATTTTGCATAACTGTACTGCTGATATGTAAGCATTGAATAAATTTGCGATGAGATAGATTTATTAATTAGCCAACGACCTATAGTATAACAATTATTTTGTATATTTATACTTAGAAAAAAATTGTATTGAAATACCTGTAGCTTTTCGCACTTTTTAGCATGTAATACAGATCGCTTCTCAGATTCTTCTATATGTCTTTCAAGGTACTGCAATTCTTTTCTAGCATCTGTAATTAAAAATCTCAAGTAATGGATATCGTATAAATATGTACAAGGGGTGATCAAATGAAAAGGTACGAAACGAAATGGTGGGTACAAATGTAGACTTTATTCAAAATATACACCATNACTATTAAGAGATTTTCTCAGGATATATATATATTTATATAATGTGACGCTTATCGTCACTTAATTTGGAATCACAATAAAACATTTAAAATAGATTTATCGTAAATTCCAAAATAGCTGATTAGATTGAAATTACTTTGGAAACTTCTATTAGTACATTGAACCTTAGCAAATACAAATAAACACTCTTGATTTAAGGTAAGAAATACGAGCCGAAAAGGGTAAATCACAAGTCTATAGTACAAGTTTGATCTCTTATGTGACCTTAATAGAATTTAGCAATAGTTTTATCAAACAAAAAGTATAGTATATAAGATTAAAAAAAAAGAACAGAACAAGAGTAGAACCGAGTCATTAGAGGTTCACCAACATTCATAATGAACATCAGTATGGGTAAGTACTCTCCATGATAATTAGTTCATTTGTTATTAATTAAAGTATTTTAAATTAATTTAATTTGTTGTTGGTTAAAGTATTATTAATTTAAGTATTTTAAAGGGAAAAAAAGAAGAAAAAAAAACAAATAGTATTTGTTAGCAATCAAAAAAGAGCAAGGAAAAAAAATTGATCCTCAGAATTTCAGTTAAAGAAGAAAAAAATGTGTCAAAAAAATTTTTTTAAGGAATATTCATGATGTTATAATTTCCTGATTCCTCATTTTTGCTGACGAATTTTAATTAAATGAAGGGAAAAAAATATAAGGCTTTGCAGACATATCATTAAAAGTGAAGCTCGTGCTACTTTGCAAAAATTACTGCGAAGTTTTTTCTTTATATATATATATACAACAGAAAGTTTTTAATTTGTGTATAAAATGCGGATCTACAATCAATCTTATTGCATGTTTATTTTTACATCAAAATAAAAATGTTATTTTGGTTGTACTTTGCAGACTTCTATTGCATAAAAAAAAACAGGTTTGTCGTCCTCAACCTTATTTTAAGCCAATTTATTTGTTTTAAGAACGAATATTTCATAATTGAAAAATATGTTTTACTTCTAGAAGGTATCTCAAAATTCACACAGGAAATAAATTTTACCCAAGAAAAGAGAAATGCAGCTCTGCCAGTTCAGGGATATTGTAAATAGAGCATTTCACGAAAAAAATAGCACTTTTTCATTAAGCACTGTTGAGTCATTCCCTGGACAAATAATTGCCATTTTGGAGATGAGAATTGGTTGGTCAGATTCCCGTAAGGCTTTTCATTATTATTATTTTTCTGTGTTTGCATAGATGACAAAACACCGCTTACTCTATATACTTTATGAATCAATTAAAAATTCATACTTTTTGAATAACAATCTGTGTTTTATCAAAACTCCTTCTTGCATGAATTTTGAATCATAGGTTATACAAACAAATATTTTTTACCTACAAAATATTCAGCCATGTTGTGAGTTTTATAAAGTACTTGCTGAGTACCCGTTTTTCGCACGGGGTGAATAAAATAAAAAAAGAAAAGAATGAATAAATCAGTACCAAGAAACACAACGCAATCATGCTCAAAACTGAAAGGACCGACACAATGAAAGAGTTTGATGTAAGAACCAGGTGAATGACATTTTTAGGGAATTTAATGAATTAGAGAAAATATCATGAAGTGGTTGGGTCAATATGGGTATGTTTAATGTATCAAAACTGATCCTAACCTAACTAATCCATATTAGTTTTTAGCATGCTTGCATCATTTTTATTTCAAATTAAACTGTGGTTAATAAAATAAAGCAAAGAATTATTGGTCCCAACTTTTAATAAATTGGTAATAAAATAATTCGGATAAAACTTTTATTTTCGTTCTGTAAAAGTCACTTACCTGGTTTTTCCACTAAGTTTTTCAATTAATATATCTAAAATAATTCTTTTTAATTTAATATTATATAATGTAATCTTCGGTGCCTTTATGTTATTGAAATAAGCAAAGCTCGTTGTTTGTAATTCATATAATTGGTATAAAGTAGTATAACTTGGCATGATGCGATTGCTCGCAGCTAATTCATAATAGTTAAAATTTACCACTATTAAGAGATTTTCTCAGGTACATATCCCTTTCGAGGGGCCGTAAAACACTTAATTCAAAATACAGGTATTAAAATTGATTTCTGCAGTTTCAATAATCTCCAAATATATTAATGTAACATTTTATACCTATATAAGTATATTTGGTACTTATTACATAACCCTTCTACATTTGAGTTTATACATATTTGTCAGGGGCAGTCAACAAAAGCCGAATTTAAAAATAAAAAAAATTATTAGAACTTCATAAGGATTTTGGAGCATGACTATTTCTCTATCTCACCTTTAATTTACAGTTAAAATATTTATACGTAGTGGTGGAAAAAATTTCTTTTAGTTCTTTTAAATATAAATACACTATCTTAGCTACCACTGGAAAAAATACTTTCTAAGACTACGGAAAACTCGTTGCAGAATTCTTATCAAAACCAATTTGCCAATTACCATAATATCAGTAGTACATATTACCGTCAGTGATGCATATGAGTGAATGACAATTTTTTACGATTTTCTTAATCGAATTTTCTAATAATCTTTCCACCATGAGCTTTTGCTTTTTCAGTACATAGCTCATTTGAATTCATTCTATTAATGCACATTATCAATATTAATTGAACATTAGTGTCAATAATAATATGCAGATTTTTTACGGTTACCCTAAGCGCGAATGTATCTTTTCTCCTTATTTTTGCTTTCTAGTTCAGAAGTTACTTTTTTCTATTTCAATTAATACATATTCCAGACATTAATTAAGCATCATTGTCGTCAATGAGTATGACGATTTCTTACGGTTCTTCTAAGCAAATCAATACCTCTACTCCATTACTTTTGCTTTTTAGTACATAGCTTATTTCTTTCATTTCGTATCCTATATTCGCGATCGCAACGCTCGAGTAC